GTCCTTTTCTCCATGGGAATCAACTGTTCTGGAGTTGGCCTGTTGTGCAAGTGCCGTTTGCTTGGTGAGAATGCAGGCCTGGTCAAGCTATGCTCCTGCCATGAATGGCCTGAAGTAGTTAATGGCTGTAAGAATGGCTCGTGGCCACCGGTCCCACAGGCAATGCAGAACGTTCCTCCAGTGTGGAAGGAATTGCCCACCTGTGGTATTTCTCTGCACAACTAATTTGACAGTGTTTTTACTGTTTTCAGACCTAACTTGTAGTCATTTTCCCTGGAAGTCAGTGCTCTCACCCTGAAGGTGGCATGCACTCTTCTTCTCAGGAGGAAATGTGTTCCACTTCTTGTGAGGGACAACAGTGTCCTCTGGCCAGCTCCCTAAGCAAGCAAAGTGGCCGATGGACAGTCACTGCAGTGCCAGATGTGACTCTTGGTGGCTGAGGGGTGGGTCTTTGGGAAGCATGGACACAAGTAAAAAGAGAGAAAGGCACATAAATAGGATATCATTGTAGCGCCTGCTTTTCATGATGCCCCTGCTGTGGACGGGAACATGGAAGCATCGCCCTACAGATGCCATGTGCCTGCAGGACTCTTGGTGACCAGTATGTGTGTGCATTGAAGGCACTTGTATCGATTACAACATCTTGAAATAGTCGCTGGCTGGAGCTGGTTCCAGCCCCCAGAGTGCTATTTTCAGCACTTCTGTATTTGTTTCTATCTTAGCTGAGGTGCTTCGTTAACAACATTGACTCATTCAGAAACTCAGCTTCAGAGGCTGTCTGCATCTGAACAGATTGTATTTCTAAACTAACTGACTTAGTCCACTCGTTTCCCATGTGGGTGATTCCAGATTCTGCAGGGGCAGGTAGGTCAGCGTGTAAGGCACACTCCAGACACAGGTTTTAAGTGTCCTTTTTTCATTGTGAGGGGACTGAGGGCAAAGCAGCAAAGGTCCCCCAAAGACATTATGCAGAGGTGGTAGAGGCCCTGATTCTGGTGCTGTCAGTCCCCAGATTTCCAGCCTCCCTCCACGACCTTGTCAGGAAGCCATCTGATGACTTGTGCTACCCAGAGTTTATTTTCCTAGTGAGTTATCTCTGATGAAAAGTAGCAGGAGAATGACTCCCTTGTATGCCTTTTGCTCTCTGAGGCCCCTGCCAAATAGGACCTCAGCCCTACTGTTCCAATGAAGCAACACCTTCCTTGTGGAAGGCTCTGATTGGTTGTTGGCCTACCTGCCTATATACCATGGAGTCAGCCCATCGTGTGTTGTTGGCAGAGCTGCACATCCTGACATATAGATATGCAAACCTACTCAGTGCCCACTATCTTCAGCATCTGCAAAGTGTGACCCCAAGAGAGAGAAGAGCTTCTGGAAGGAGCGACTTTAACCATCATGTCATTGAGATAGTTCAGTGAGCCGAAGCAAAGAGGAATTGTGCCCGGTCAGGCAGCTCAGGTGGTCACCTTGATTATCTATGGGTTTCTTCTCTTCTTGGACAGCGGGTAATTATCTGCAAAATGTTTTGACTCCCAACTGTCTAGGAACTCTGTGGCTCATAGGCCATATTCTATCATGAATTAAACCTTCAAAAGGTGGAGCTAGGTGGCTGAGCACTGTTCTTTTTTCAAACTGAGTGGGCTCAAGGACATTGAGGCATTGCCCCAAGCTAAACCCTGTGTGGGACAGGGCCCTTACACCTGCATTGCCAGCAAAGCTGTAGCTCAGGCTCCTGCCAGCCACTGTGTGGCTCCAGCATTTCACCCAGAAGGGCTGCACATGGCCTCCTCTTGACCCTGTGACTTCTCTTCAAGTTAATTTGTCAACATCCAGGTCAGAGGGCCAGCTCCAGCTAGTACACACTTATTGTGGGACTTGCATGGTCTCGGTTCTGTGATTTTCCTCTTCGTGCTAGCTCAGTCCTTCTGGGACTGTGGGCACAGCCTCTTATAATTACCTCTGCTCTCTCATTCCCCACAGGCATTTCAGTCAGGTCCAGCCATGGGTCTGTGCCACATGTATGTCCTCCTGCCTCCTCCCTGGGTTCTCATGCACCTCATGCCAGTGCTTGCTGGCCCTGTATCACTGCAAGCTCTCTGCCGCACCCGGGCTGCTCAGCACAGTGTGCAGGACCTCTGTAGCCTCCTGACATGCAGTTCTGTCCCTCCACTTCCCTCTGCACACACAGGCTTCCTGCCAACAGTACCCCCACCCTCTTCAGGGTGTCTTTCTACTAGCCACTTCTAGCAGGCAGAGCCTCAGATGCTTGATGCTGGCACAGAGAAATGGTGATGGAACGGGAGTAGGCAGGGAAGAAGTGGGAGGGAGAAAAGCCCATGAGCAGGAAGTAAGACTCAAGCTTCATCACCCAGCCGTCCAGCTTACACAAAGCCTAAGAAGACCTGTGCCCATGCCCACTCTGCTATCCGTACTGTCCCCAGTTCCATCATCCTGTGGGTAAGGCTTAGAGTGTGGAGCCGCACGGGACACAGGGCAGCAATTCTGGAGTTCCCACAGCTCTGTCACTCTGCCACCTCCTGGATGCCTATTCACTGCCCTTTCCCCTCCAAGGGATGTCACAGGCTGCTGCAGTGACAGGAGCTGCTATGACACATGAGCAAAAAGAGTAGTGTGCCAGGTAAAAAGGAGAGAAGTCCATGAAATCCCAAAGTGCAATTGCAAGGCCACCAAAGGACAGTTGAGGACACTCAGACTCAGGCTGATATTTCATTTGTGATATTTCATATGAGTCTTCACCTGTTGCTCCAGATAAGGTGGGAGAGATATTAACCCCTTTTCCCCAAGGAAGCAGTAGCAGAGAGTGGCCCACACTAATGCTGACCCTGACAGGGCCAGCCAGGGTGGATATCAGGCAGCCAGCTCTGCAGTCACCACCAACCACTGCACAGTGCTCACAGAACAGCAGATCAAGTAGCTGTCAGCACAAATGCAAGGGTGGGTGCCAGAAGGCTTGAATGCCTTGATGCAAAGGTTGAAATGAAAGTTAATAGAGCAGAGTAGAGGGGACTGTCATTAGAACCATAAGGAAAGGCTACCTTCTCTTAACTGTGCCAGACACACCAAGTGTGGCGTTACCATTTTAGTCATCTCCAGGAGACTCACAACCCCAGGCCTTTCGTCATTCCAGAAGAAGCTCTGGCCCCTTAGACAGCAGTTTCCTGATCCTCCATTTCTCCAGCCCTCGTAACCCCCACTCTCCCTTCTGACTGTGAGAATTTGCCTCTTCTAAGTCATTATAGGTGGAGTCCTTTACACTTAGGCCCAGTCCATTCAACACAGTGTCTCTGAGATTAACCTGTGTCATGGTTCATGTCAAAATTGCTGTTCTCCTGAGGGCAGAGTACTACTCTGTTGTGTGTGTGCACCACATCTTGTCTGCTTGTCTCTTGATGGACATGGTTGCTTTCACTGATGGCTGTTGCTAGTGCTGATGTGACCATCAAGTCGCTGCCTTCAGATCTTTTGGTTAGATACTTAGGAACAGAGCTGCTAGGTTGCATGGTTACTCTGTGCTTGACCGCTCCACATTGGCTGCACCGTGTTGCATTCCTAGAAACACATGTGAGTTCCAGTTTCTCCACATCCACCGGCATTGGTCATATTGCATTTTATTGTCATTACACCATCCTTGGGGAAGGGTTTCTTTAATAACATTTTAAGTGTGTACATTACCACTCTAAATAGTGATGAGCAATTTATTATGATGCACTTGTCACGATGGGCATTCTGGATGTTCAGCCCTTGCTCACGGAGGTCATATGAGGTCACTTGGGTGGTGCCTCCTGGGCATGCCAGTTAGCCTGTGGGGTCTTAGCATTGTTCTTATTCTCAAGTGGTTGTTAGGCTCTTTTTTGTTCATTTGTTTTTCCTCAAAACTAATTATGTCTGTATTCCAGATGGCTGAATGTGAGGAAGTATGAACACTGAAAAGAATATTGTAACACACACACACACACACACACACACACACACACACACACACACCCCTCTACCTCTGTGGAGTGTAATGTACACACTTAAAATGTTATTAAAGAAACCCTTCCCCAAGGACTGTCCACAGTCACCTTGGTGGACAGAGACACAATTGTCCTCTAATTTCTTCTTGTATCAGAAATGGAAAAAGTGCCACTTTGTAACTTGGAATGATTCAGCAAGGATCCCAAATGAATACTAACACCACTGAATGAAAGTTAGGAAGTGCGCAGGCCATTGTGTGCCTAAGTGTCACTCCCTTAGAGAGGGCTAACAGATCTCGACACTGGAGAGTGTGTCCCCGCCAGCTCCTCCACTCACTCATTCAGCATTAGTTGGAGGTCAGCCTCACGGCTCTTCCTGATCCCAGAAGGTTAAGGTAGAGGCCTCACCTGCTCACCAAAAGTGTCCAGCTGCAGTCCTGCAGAGACTCCAACACCTAACCTCAATCCATGAGGTGTACAAGTTAGAGGAACCAGCTGAGCTCCAGTCAGACAGACCTCGATGTAGACAATTCTATAAGAAAGCTGGCCTGGACTTACTAAAAAGTCGAGGGCAGGAGGAAGGCATGAATTATTCTCTTCTGGATGCAAAACAGATAAGCAGTTTAGCCACCGACATAATAAGAAAACAGCCCTTGATGAGGCCCAAGGCTGAGGAAGTAAGCTGCAATGGTAGGGGGTGATAAGCATGGACTGGAGGCCAGAGACCCACCCAATGACAGACAGTAGAGTCAGTGAGAAGCAGATCTTATTCCTAAGGTGCACAAGTAGATTGTCCTATGAGGGAAGTGTCACGGTGTCTACAATATGTCTTCAATGTTTCTGGTAAAAGAGTAAGAGCTGGAAACAAGGAAGCAAATATGTCAAAATATATGCATTCATTCCTTAGATCTAGGTGAGGGTGAGAGTGACCATTTGTGAACTGGCTCATCTACTGTTATGTATCTGAGCCTCCAACTCTCCTCCCACGTTCTGAAATGAAAGCCTTTTGTTTTTGTTGTGCAGTGCGGGACCGGGTCAGATCTAAGATGGAGAGAGACATCCTGGCAGAAGTGAATCACCCTTTCATTGTCAAGCTGCATTATGGTAAGTGCAGCAAATGTGACGAGCTTTGAGGGGGACCTGGGTGACATCTTCAATCAGAGGAAACTGAGATAATAACAATTGGTCCAAAAGCAGAGGATCCTCACTGTGTCAGACTCCTGTCCTGTGTGGAGACTAAGGTCTCTAAAATCCCCATTCAGTCTCTTTCCTGTTTGTTCTTCCTAAAAGAGCAAGATGCCCTTCTTCATCCCAGAGACTGTGTGAGATGGGGCTGCCCATCATGGAGACATCACCACGGCCAATCTGGCACAAGGGTCTCCACCTAGGTTGGGGTGAGACATGATGGGGAGTGACAAAAGGGAGAACAGTGCAGTGAACCTTCAGACTGCCACTCAGGGAAGGCTATTGTTTGGGGCTCTTGAGGCTCAGAACAAGTATTCACAGACCTACCTTTCTACACAACACCAGTTCTCTGCCTTTGTGTCTCATCAGAGGAGGAGACGGAATCCATAATGGTGGCTTCTCAGTCATGTACCCCACAGTGCTTTCCTTGTTAAGGAATTCATGTGAATAGAGGATGGAAAAGGACCAGGGGTCCCTATAAACAGGAAGTGAAGGCATGAGTGCACCTGGGTGGGATAGGGAGACTTTCAGAGATCAAGAGAACAGTTCAGGCCTGTCTTGAGCCACATGGTATGCCCTTCAGAAAGAACAAAAGTTGGCTCCTCTGTGGCCTGAAGGGCCAGGTGGGACCCTCAGCCTTCGCAGCCATGGCAGCCATGGTTAGAGCCTCACCTCCCTCCACTGGAAGCAGCAGTAAGGCAGGAAAGCCTGACTCTCCCTCTCTCCTGCCCTGCCCCAGCTGCTGCTGGACTGTGGTCAGACCAAAGCCTGGAGTTGCCATCTGGAGTGTTTCATTTTTTTAAAACTGATTAAGCCCTTTATTTAAAAAACAGAATGCTTCTCAAATTTGCATGTCATCCCTTCTCAGGCCATGCTCATCTCCTCAGGATCATCCAGTTCCAGGGTGTGTGCTGGGGGTCAGGCTGTTTGCACAAGGAAGTTAAAAACTGGGTATCTTATACAGACTTTTCAACAGATGTTCTGCATTCCTTCTGTTTTCCACTACCCCTCAAGGCCCACACTGTACACACTGCAGTACACATAGCCCCAACTAAGGGTCTTCCAGCTAAATGCTGGCATTCATAATGGTCCTGGAACTTTTAGAAAATGGGAAAAAAATCAATACACAGAAATAAGAGCACCCTCTGGCCTGTACCCCGGCCTGGTGTCCGGTGTATAAAACCTGATGCCAAATGATGGTTGCTTACTGATGGTGGCCTGATCATCATGACTGATGACCTTCCCTGACACTGACCTGGCTGCCAATGCTGACAGACCCTCCCTGATACTGGGCTGACTATCAACACTGGGCTTTGGGAGAACAGAGATTCAATGGTCAGAGGGAACAATGTTTGCCTGTGAAGTGCTCAACTGTATCTCCTCCCACAGCCTTTCAGACTGAAGGCAAGCTCTATCTGATTCTGGATTTCCTTCGGGGAGGGGACCTCTTTACCAGGCTTTCCAAAGAGGTAAGTGACTCTACAGCCCTTGGTGACATTGTTTCTAGGGAAATAGGAAGGAAAGAGCATTAAGGGAGATGGTCATGTGGGGTGTCATGTGTGTGATGCATGATGCAGTACAGGATGTGTGGTGTGTGGTGTTTGCTCTGTGTGATGGGAAGTGTTTGATATACGAAATCTTATGAATGTGTGGTAAATGTGTGTACCAGTCATGGTTACATACACCCATGACCCCAGCATTCAGGAAACTGAAACAGGATTTTAACTTCACTATCCGCTGAGCCACAGGGTAGGATCTGCACAGCTGCATCAACAGCCTTCTAAGTGTGTGCCTCCCATGCAAACAGGATCCTCCCGTACATTGTATGACTATGCCTCAAAGCATTGTCCTCTGTCCATAGCCCCTGTCCTAGGTAGAAGAAGTGAACAAAGTTCATGATAACATTTGAGGATTGTTGCATTTGATGGCATCTCACTTCCCATCCTTGAAGGCACAGTTAATGCTGTGTGAGCAGTGTCCCTGTGGGTTTGTGTTTAGGAACATCATCTTGTCGGGTCTTTGTTCACTGGATGAGCCTCATTGACTTCTAATTAAAGAGTTAATTTTTCGTAGCAACACTTCAAGTAAGAACTCTCCAGAATTGCAAGGTGAAGGCGCTGTGTCTCTCAAGTCATGAGCATTGAGCTAGCTTTGTGGGATGGGGGAAATCCAGTATTCTGTCCATAGCAACAGCATTCTTGTCTTCTCATTTGAATGATTCTGTAAGGCTCAGTACAAAGAATAAGAGGTCTAGCAGCATGCTGGGGGAATGCTCCTCACATTTTCTCAACAGAGTGATCTTGATTTGCCTGTGACAGTGGCTCTCAAATCGCCCCCCTTCCCTCCACCTTCCCAGGTTTTCAGTAGGCGTGCCTTGCTTAAAACTCCAGACAAATAGCAAATCAAGATAGAGCTTGTGGCCAGGCAGGAAAGGGCTCCCAGAGGCTGCAGGCTGTTCTCCCTTCATTTCCTGGAGGTCCCTGGAGCAGTGGCACATGGAGGAGAAATTCTGGCCTCTGGTGATGGGATCCTCTACTCCTCTTAGCTCAGGGAACCCAATCTGCAGTCTTCTTTTGCTCAGAATCTGGTGAGAAAGCCTGTAGCTGGGCTTCTTGACCAAAAGACAATGATTGGAAAAAGCCCCGTAACTCTCACAGCGGGACATGTGAGATTAGTGCAGAGGGATAAAGTGGCCACATCTGGGCACACAGGTTCTTGGGGAGTTGGTAGCATGAAAAGCCCTTTCCTGGCATTCTCTCCTTCTGCAGAGCACTGGACAATGGCATGCTGTGTGTGGCCACCATGACTGCTTTCAAGGACTCACCTGTGTGCAGTGCATTAATAAAGGATTTGGGAACTATACAAGATGTACCTGAGATCTAGGAAAGCAGAAAAAGATAATGACTCTCTGTGTATTGTATGCATCCAGTAATAAAGGGAAACTTGGCACGTGGTAGGATTTGACTGTGCAAAACCTAGTGGATGCATTAGCCAGTGCCAGCACTTCCAGAAAAGAAACAGGCAAGAGGAGAGGTGCTGGTCACACAGAAGAAATAGAATAGAGGTAGAGGGGTGCTGGGAGTTGGAGAGGGTCCATAGTGTAGGGCCAGCTCCTAGGGTTACCAGCTGACACTTTGCAGGACCTAAGGCAGGTGTCCTTACTAGGAACTGAGAGTCCGGTTTGCTTGGCTGGTGACATTCACCACACAGTCCCATAATTCACTCATTTTAGCTCTGGTCTCATGCCACATTCAGTTTGCATGTGGTGTGTGTGTGTGTGTGTGTGTGTGTGTGTGTGT